GGGCGCCTTTTCCATCCGTCTTTCCCCCCCCTCACGGGGCTGTGAAACTGCGCGCGCGCGCTGTTCCGATTCCATCGGCTCTGCCGGCGGGACAGTTGGCTCTGGAATTTCTGGAATGCGGAACTCCTTCCAACGTTCCCCTTTCCCTTCCCGCCTCTCCAATGCTCTCGCCTCCTGGCGGGCTCCTATGGCCAGCGCTGATTTGGTCAGCTGGTCCATAGACTCCGCCCTGGGCGCCCGGGAAAGTTCATCTTTCACAGCCGAAGAAAGCCCTTCTTCAAAGAGCATTTGAATGGGTTCCGCCGATAAGTCCCACCCCAATCTGTGTATCAGCATGGTGAACTCAGTCCAGTACTCACGTACAGATCGGCTCCCCTGTTTGCAAGCCATTAACTGTCTGCGCACCACTCCCTTTTCAATATCGCTGGAAAACATCAGATCCATGGCGCGAAAGAACTTCATCGTGTCCTTTAAGACGTCACTATTAGCTGCCATCAGGGGTCTAACCCAGTCTCTCGCCCCCTTTTCAAGATGCCCAATCACAAAAGCCACTCGTGATTCCTCATCAGGGAAATCATCAAACTGCAGATTGAGGGCATATTGCATTTCTGTCCGAAAGCTATGATAGTCTTTGGGCTCCCCCCCAAATTTTGCACCAATCCTGGTACCTTTCTGGCGAGCTGGGTGGCTTTCTCCCTTTGTCTGCATCTTGAGCCCTCCTCTCCTCCAGCCTCGCCGTCTGCAGCGCCAGCTGGACCTCCAACACTCGGTACCTTTCTTCCAGGCTTGGACCCGCTCCAGCCCCTGCTTCTCCGGTTCCTGCTGGGTTGCTCATTATGCCTTCTCCTGCACAAGCTGCGTTCAAAGACTGTCGGAATGCTGTGATGGGATTATGAGCTGCTTGTGCGTAAAATCGTATTCCCTCAGAGTTTGTTCAAGTCCACAAACCTCTGTCTGTGACTGAGCCCCTCTGACATGGCTCCTCTTAGTCACTAGAAGATTCCGACAGTGGTTGCTTTCGTAATCGCTTCCAACATAAAAGCTCCTTAACGGAAACACGTCTTCTGGACTCTCTGCGTGACAGTTTCCGGCGAGGAGTGGGTGTCGCTACAGGAGGTCCGGAAACCTCACCACTGTTTTCGCTGGAAGTATCTCTGAGCCATCCCCCAGCTCCCTTTCCCTCAGTTCAGCTTCTCTCCCCTGCTGGTTTCCTCTTCAGCTGCTAAGTCTCTTCCAACCTGTCTGAGCCCTTTCACCTCCCTCAGTTCAGCTTCTCTCCCCCTGCTGGTTTCCTCTTCAGCTGCTAAGTCTCTTCCAACCTGTCTGAGTCCTTTCACCTCCCTTCCTACCGATGGCAGTTCCCTGACAGGTTCTAACAGTTCTGTTTCTAATTTTGATTTTTCCACCTGGAAGCCAATTTTCTTGTCCAAATTGTATGCCTCCATTATCTGATAATAATGAAGCCAGTCTCACACTTTGTTTTTTAGTTTCTCAAAACTCTGCAATTTCAGTCTATCTCCCTCTTGTTCCAAAATTTCCCAATATTTCGGCCATTTGACCTTCATATTGAGCTTTTTCTGAGCTTTCGCTTCCATCGGTGACAGCCACCTTGGGGTTTTATTTTCCAATAAATCCTTATATCTTATCCAGACATTAAACAATGCTTTCCTGACAATATGGTTTTTAAATGCTTTATGTGCTTTGACCTTATCATACCACAAATATGCATGCCATCCAAATACATTATTAAAACCTTCTAAATCCAAAATGTCTGTGTTTTCAAGAAGCAGCCATTCTTTCAGCCAGCAAAAAGCTGCTGATTCATAATAAAGTTTAGGGTCTGGCAGGGCAAATCCACCTCTTTCCTTTGCATCTGTTAGTATTTTAAATTTTATTCTAGGCTTCTTGCCCTGCCAGACAAATCTAGAGATATCTCTCTGCCACTTCTTGAAACAGTCCATTTTGTCCAAAATTTGCAATGTTTGAAACAGAAACAACATTCTAGGCAATACATTCATTTTTATCACAGCAATACGGCCTAGCAGTGAAAGCTTCAAATTTGACCAAATTTCTAAAAAAAAATTCACTTCAGCCCAGCATTTTTCGTAATTGTCTTTGAATAGATTCCCATTTTTTGCTGTCATGTTAATCCCCAGGTATTTCACTTTCTTAACCACTGTTAAACCTGCCTCATTCTGAAACCTCTCTCTCTCAATCGGTGTTAAATTTTTCTCTAAGACCTTTGTTTTTAACTTATTCAGTTTAAATCCTGCAGCCTGACCAAATTCTTGAATCAGTTCCAAAACCCTTTTAGTACTAGATTCTGGCTCCTGTAATGTCAATACTAAGTCATCTGCAAATGCTCTCAATTTGTACTGTTTAGCTCCAACTTGTACACCTTTAACCAATTGGTCCCTTCTAATCATATTCAGCAGGACCTCCAGGACCAATATGAAAAGCAATGGGGAGATTGTTGTTGTTGTTGTTGAGTCATTTAGTCATGTCCGACTCTTCGTGACCCTATGGACCAGAGCACACCAGGCACTCCTGTCTTCCACTGCCTCCCGCAGTTTGGTCAAACTTATGTTCGTAGCTTCGAGAACACTGTCCAACCATCTCGTCCTCTGTCGTCCCCTTCAATACTTTCTGCACTAAGAAATGCATTACTGTGAAGTAATACCTTCTTTTATGTGTCCTGAACCTTCTAATATTCTGCATCGTCGTATGTCTACAAGTTCTAGTGTCATGAAAGAGAGAGAAAAACTTTTCTCCACTTACTTTCTCTACACCGCACACAACTTTATACTGTTTCATCCTTGACGGTAGTTAGCTTGGCTTTTTTATTGCGGCTTTAGAGTTTGCAAGTGTATTTTAAGCTGCGTTTTATTATTACATTATTGTTGCTTCTAATATATTATGTAAGCTGCCTTGGGAAATAGTTCAAGAATGTTAAAAATAAAGAACACACCCAATCCATGCGCAGCACTCAACCCACATTTAATGTACAAAAACGCCTAAGTCAGAAATCAAAGCACTGTAGGCAAAACTGTGCATTAAATGTTGGTTGAGCTACAAATTGAATGCGCGCTGAAGCAATCAGCACCACTTTGGTGCATGGCAAAGGCCTCGTGGACTCACTTGGCCTACAATTACACCAGGCCACTCTCATAATTTCACCCGCACATTGTTCTATGTTGGTAGGGTCATAAGGCATAAATGGCTCACGACTGGCTCACTGCAAGCCAGTCTGCCACCTATATCCACCTAGTCCCAAGCAAGCTTACCTTTGCAAGGCGGGAGAGGGGCTGGCTACAGGGAGAGATGGCGGATGTCAGCAGAGCTCTTGCAACCTCATCCACAGATACTCCCAGAGTATCCTATTGCCCCTGGGGATGCACATACATCCAATGCCTTCCAGCTCCTTGCTGGCTTAGTAATATAGTACTATAGCAATATTATATAAAGTAGTATTATACAAAGTAGCTGTGAAAATAAATAATTCAAGGGAAAGGGGAAATTAAAAAGTGGGGATTGGGGGAAACGGAATTAAGGGGAAAGGGGGTCCTGCAACAATGCACTTATAACGCACTTCTTTTATAAATGAGAGCTTGAGTAGGCAGAAGAGAGCTGCGTTGAATGCCACATGCGGATAAGGACAAGGCATAGGAAAGCAATGCTCCTACCAACACTGCTGGCTCCCCTGCCCATTGGACTTTTCCCCAATTAAATAAACAGTTGCATTGAATAACTTCCTGCATTGCCGAGAATGTAATATTAAATAAAGATATTATTGAGAAAAGCAGTGCCAGGGAAATAAATAATTCAAAGCGGCATGGGTGTGTGTGAAATAATAGAAATGGGGGGGGGGGGAGTATTGTTGAAAGAAGGCCCTAAGGAGCAAGGGGTGGGGGGAGAGAGCCCTGAAATCATAACACACACCATTCCCATGTGCCAAATTAATCTCAAAAGAAAAGAAAAAATCAGATTTGAAAAAGGAAAAGAAAAAAACCATCAGATCTGACGGCTCTGTAGTCTGCACCAAACTTCCAGAAAATTGCTTTCTCACTGCTATTGATATACAATTATGCTCTAAATGCTCCCAGATGTGAGCCCTGCTATCTTCTTTGTACATAGCATCAAAAAGGGTCTCCTTCCAAAAAAAGAGAGGGAGGGGGAGAGAGAGAGAGAGAGAGAGAGAGGTATTGGCGTACTGATAGAGACAGAAGATCCTAGCCACTAATACATCAATTATGTTGAGAGTTGAGAGCCAGCTAGTGCAGAATTGGATTTTCTATATACCTGCTGCTACCTCAAACGCAAAGAATGCTCCGTTACTCAAGTCATGCCCAGTGACTGGGACGGGTTCACTCCTCACCTTCCCTGCCCCGGGAAGAGCTCAGCAGTCAGGCAGCAGGGGATAACAGATTATGCCAGAACAGGGAGGTGAAGGGTGCAGAAAAGGGCAGCAGAAATGAACAGGGGCTCGAGCAGCTCTCTGATTTTGTTTATTTTGTTTGCTTATTAAATTTGTGTATTGCGCTTCATCCAGAGATCTCAGAGCAGTTCGCAGCATGAAAATACAAAAAGAAACACAAAATACATAATAAAAACAAGATGAGGAAAGGATTACCACACAGGGCCTTTCTATTGTAGAAAAACCTTTAGTGGGAGGGGGGAGAATTCTCCCACACTCGTTGTATTAGAACCTGAGGTCACCCAATGATGCTGAATTGACATGGAGTCATGGAGGACAAGGCTACTCATGGCTAATGAATATCCCCGCCCCCCACTATCGGAGGCAGTATGCCTCTGAATGCCAGGTGCTGGAAACTAGGGAAGGGGGGCTGCCATTTTGCTCAGGTTCCTGCTTCTGAGCTTTCCACAGGAATCTAGTTGGCCACAGTGAGAACAGGTGCTGGATGAGATGAGTCACTGGCCTGATCCAGAAGGGCTGTTCTTATGTTCTTAAGCCCCACCCCCACCCCCGGTCTCCTCTCTCTCTCTCTCTCTCTCTCTCTCTCTCTCTCTCTCACTCTCACACACACACACAGAGAGAGAGAGAGAGAGAGAGAGAGCGAGCACGCTTATCAATAAAGTACAGCATTCACTGCCATGAAACGTGGTGAGGACCACCAACCTGGGCAGGTTTAAAAGGAACGTTCATAAATGTAGGCATAAATGTAAAAGGGACGTTCATAAATGTAGGCATATTATTATTATTATTACCCGAACTTTTTCCCTGACAGGGACTCCAGGCAGCTTACAGATAAAATTAAGAACTGCTAAAAACATTTTAAAACCCAACCATTTAAAAAATAATATAATTAAAACCAGGTATGATCTGTGATGGGACACGGGTGGCGCTGTGGTCTAAACCTAGCCTAGGGTGAGCTCCCATTGCTCGGTCCCTGCTCCTGCCAACCTAGCAGTTCGAAAGCACGTCAAAGTGCAAGTAGATAAATAGGTACCGCTCCGGCAGGAAGGCAAATGGCATTTCCATGCACTGCTCTGGTTCACCAGAAGCGGCTTAGTCATGCTGGCCACATGACCCAGAAACTGTATGCTGGCTCCCTCGGCCAATAAAGCGAGATGAGCATCGCAACCCCAGAGTCGGCCACGACTGGACTTAATGGTCAGGGGTCCCTTTACCTTTATATGATCTGTTTAAAAACATACAGGTACAGGTAATTATAATTATACATTCCTTTGGCTGTGTGAGTTCTAGTCCTGCTTCCAACATTTGACACACTGACCATTATGCTGCCCTGCCTTTCACATTTCACAGTGAATGGCTACATGGCGACTCCTTCAAGCCGCCTGTCATGAGAGCAGCAGGAGAGGGGGGAATCCGGTGTTCACATCAATCCCAAACCGTCGTTCACCCTAGGCCTGTTCACCGGTTACACAGATCACAGCAAAGTCTACACGTGTACAAGAATTTGTGTGAAAGAGCCTATGCTCAGCAATTCTGTACACAGCCTGTACGTCCATTGAATGCTGAATGAGTGTACAGACTAACTATCCGTGTGAGCAGGTAGACAGCTTGTCCGCTCATTGAATATAACACGTGAATATCTCAACCAACCTAAGAAAGTGGAGTACAGGTCTGCCAGAGCAACATTTTAAAAACGTTGTAGAAATGCGAGGTCTAGCTAATAGCACTGAAATGTGATGCGCCATTAGTGGTCCAAGTGACACATTGAAAGGAAATCCTTCAAAACATGAAACTCATGTATAAAGGGCATTTGACGCCACTGGGCAAGCTCATTGGATCAATAAGTTTATCACTTAAGAAGATGGGGCCAAAATGCTCTTTATGGCTTCTCCTAAACAACCCCTGCCCATTAACCACCCCACCACTTGAAAAGGCACATTGCCGTCGAAGCTGTTGACAAGCAGTTTTTTGGCACTCACTTGGATAATAAAACCACAGCTTGGAAAACATTAAATTCAGCATGTCCAGAATTATTCTGTGTGACAATTACATCTGGGGTAATTTCAATTTAATACCTCACTGCGAGTGAAAATTGCAGCATGCAGCCCTAAAATTGCTGTAATAATGAAAATAAACCCACTAAGAGCTGCCTCTGCTACCTCGGGCTGTCACTGGATAAATGTTTTCTGCTGCTTATGGTATTTCATAGGTCACCAAATTGCCAACACTTTTTTTTTTTTACAAAACCAATAAAAGTTCAACTTTCCTCCCTCCTCCCAATCCCCATTCCCAATTGTTCTTTCACAAAAAGAGGCAATTCCAGTACACAGTGCTCCAGACCGCAGCTGGAGATTTGTTTTTGAGCTTCATGCTTTGAAATCTTATAGTAGAACAGGGATGGGGAACCTGTGGCTCTCCAGATGTGGCTGGACTCCAACTCCCATCACCCCCTGACCATGCTGGCTGGGGCTGATGGGAGTTGAAGTCCAACAACATCTGGAGGGTCAGAGGTTTCCCCACCACTGCCAAATGAAGATGCATTGTACTACATTTTCACATTCTTGGATCTCACTGTGGGACGACATCTTTACTACTTGTATGCAGGAACTTCCAACAGCACAGAGAGAGGGAAAGAGGGAGAGAAGGTTGAAGGTGCTGATTCAAGGAATAATTCTTCAAGAGAGCTCATTACAGCTCACTCTCAGAGCCATTTTTGATGTCTTTAAGTCGTCGACACGTGGCTTTTCCATTTGATTTTTCTGAAGTATTTATTTCCCAGCAAAGATACATCTGAAATTAAACTTTCCTCAGATATGCCAGCCTTTCCAAATGGCACTGGGCATTTGAGCATACAACCTTACATGGGGGAAGCTCTCCATGATGTTTATCACAGCAACTTCTTCAATCTTAAAGGCAAGAAAAATGTTGTTGTTTTTCACAACTGGAGAAGCTGCAAACCCCATTAGCACACAATGACTCCAGCTATACAATAACTTATATGATGAAACACTTGCGGACAAAATCAAATTCAGGAATTCCCAATCCAGTGTTCTTAACTCTCCTAAGCAAGAACATTTTCCTATTACCTAGTTTAATACCGAGTTTCTTTTAAGCGTGGATTTCCACTGCAACTAATATTGCCAGCTAGGTGCTACTTCTAACATTTTACTTCATGAGATGAAAATTCCCTTGTGGGTCTCTCTAGTCAGTTAACAAAATTCAGCAAAAATAAAGAAAATAATGAGAACACTAAACAAAAATAATTCCAGGAGGGCTCTCTGTTGGAAGCCAGGGAGAGAAGTAGGAAGTTGGGCAGATTGCAGCGTAGGCCTGCAACCATCTCCCCTGGCGTTTATTTCCAATCCAAAATAATTTACACTAGGAAAAAAGGAAAGAAAAACATCCCTGAAATAGATGCCTCTTTATATAACTCTATTTCAAGTACACCTTCTCATTTAGTGAGGAAAAGGAAATGTGCCTTATTCAATCCATATTGCAGGTTAACTGGCCTGGTAAGCAATATAATTTCAAACGAGGGACACATCCAGAGATATTTCAGCTATTTTAGATCTTTCTGTTTACTTACGTAATTCTTGTTTTGTGGTTTTGGCAGAATCATGAAGCAAAAGACTACTGATTAGGGGAAAGAGAAGGGTTGCAGAGTTCTTTGATCCTGGATGCTATTTAGATGCCCTTGTATGCCAGTGCCCTCATTATTACATTATTGTTTTAGTTCTTTGGTGGGTGGTTCAGTTTCAAAGACGGGCAAATTGCAGTTGCCTAATTACCTTTCTTTCTTTCTTTCTTTCTTTCTTTCTTTCTTTCTCCCTCTCCCTCCCCCTCCCACACTTTCCCATGTTGGCTGAGGCTGACAAGAGTTGAAGAAGAAGAAGAAGAAGAAGAAGAAGAAGAAGAAGAAGAGGAGGAGGAGTTTGGATTTGATATCCCGCTTTATCACTACCCGAAGGAGTCTCAAAGCGGCTAACATTCTCCTTTCCCTTCCTCCCCCACAACAAACACTCTGTAAGGTGAGTGGGGCTGAGAGACTTCAGAGAAGTGTGACTGGCCGAAGGTCACCCAGCAGCTGCATGTGGAGGAGCAGAGACGCGAACCCGGTTCACCAGACTTTGAGTCTAATGCTCTTAACCACTACACCACACTGGCTTGTAGTTCAATACACCTGGAGGGAGAGGGCACCAGGTTGGGGAAGACTGGTACAGAACCAGTGACACCATATCCCCAGAATCCGCATACAATCAAGTCTCTCTCTCTCTGCCTTGTTAACTTTCTTTAAGAGATTATTATCATTCTCTCTCCCCCTCCCTCCCCACTCGCCTCATTCCTGCTCATTATTCCTTTCTGCTTCAACAACACTTGCTTGCCAGCAGCTCAGCTTTTGCATTTTTAGCATTCTCTGTGCGTACTCAACACTCCTTCACACAGCCAGAATCACACAAGAGTGTTCTGCACATATGCCTTTCAAACAGGCCTCCACGTCTGCAGAATCACATCAGAGAAGCCCCCCACTCTACACAAGAAGAATCTCAGGTGCATTGAGCCTGTGTGGAATAGAGGTTAGAGCATGGGTAGGCAACCTAAGGCCCGGGGGCCGGATGCAGCCCAATCAGCTTCTAAATATGGCCCGTGGACGGTCCAGGAATCAGCGTGTTTTTACATGAGTAGAATCATAGAATCATAGAATCATAGAGTTGGAAGAGACCACAAGGGCCATCGAGTCCAACCCCCTGCCAAGCAGGAAACACCATCAGAGCACTCCTGACATATGGTTGTCAAGCCTCTGCTTAAAGACCTCCAAAGAAGGAGACTCCACCCACACTCCTTGGCAGCAAATTCCACTGTCAAACAGCTCTTACTGTCAGGAAGTTCTTCCTAATGTTTAGGTGGAATCTTCTTTCTTGTAGTTTGGATCCATTGCTCCGTGTCCGCTTCTCTGGAGCAGCAGAAAACAACCTTTCTCCCTCCTCTATGTGACATCCTTTTATATATTTGAACATGGCTATCATATCACCCCTTAACCTCCTCTTCTCCAGGCTAAACATGCCCAGCTCCCTTAGCCGTTCCTCATAAGGCATCGTTTCCAGGCCTTTGACCATTTTGGTTGCCCTCCTCTGGACACGTTCCAGTTTGTCAGTGTCCTTCTTGAACTGTGGTGCCCAGAACTGGACACAGAATGTGTGCTTTTATTTAAAATGTGTCTCTGGGTTATTTGTAGGGCATAGGAATTCATTCTTCCCCCCCCCTTCAAAATAGAGTCCGGCCCGCCCACAAGGTCTGAGGGACAGTGGACCGACCCCTGCTGAAAAGGTTTGTTGACCCCTGGTTAGAGTGTGGCATAGAGGGAGAGCAGGGTTCCAACCCCCACTCGGCCTTCAAGCTCACTGGGTGACCTTGGACTAGTCATTGCCTCTCAGCCTAAACTACCTTGCAGGGTTGTGGTGGGGGTTAAATGAAGAAGGGGCAAACCATGAATGCCACTTTGAGCTCCGTGGAGCAAAGGGTGGGATATAATAATAATAACAACAACAACAACAACAATTTATTATTTATACCCCGCCCACCTGGGTGGGTTTCCCCAGCCACTCTGGGCTGCTTCCAACAAAATATTAAAATACACTCGTGCGTC